CCTTAAAAAGTTGAACATACATCTCTCATGCCACCCAGCCATGCCCCTCTAGATATTTACCCTAGAGAAAGGGAAACACAGGTCCACACAAAGACACATACACAAATGTTTGTAACAGTTTTAGCTGCAATAGCCAAAAACTGGAAAAAAACCCATGTCTATTGCAGGTAAATTTATACATCACAGTGGATAAATGTAACACAATGTGGATACATTCTTACAATGTATCACAATGTTGTGGATACATTCTTACAATGGAATGCTACCCCCCACACTCAAAAGGGACAAACTATTGATACATGCAGCAATCTGAATAAATCTCAAAATAAATATGCTGAGTGAAAGAAGCCAGGCCCAGGACTTCCCTGGTGGCGCAGTGGTTAAGACTCCACGCTCCCAATGCAGGGGGCCCGGGTTCAATCCCTGGTCAGGGTACTAGATCCCACACGCATGCTGCAACTAAGAGTTCACATGCAGCAACTAAGGAACTGGCAAACCGCAACTAAGAAGCACGTGAGCTGCAACTAAGAACCCCGCCGGCTGCAACTAAGGAGTGCACGTGTCACAACTAAGGAGCCAGCGAGCTGCCAAAAAAAAAAAAAAAAGAAAGAAAAGCAAAGCAAAGCCAGGCCCACTCACCCCCAAAATAATAACTCCTCTAAGACCCCACGTATATAAGACTACAGAGAATGCAAACTAGGCTAGAGGACAGTAGATCCCTTGCCAGCAATGGGGAAGGGAATGCATTTAAGGCTGTTGGAGATACGTTCACTGTCTCAACTGCAGGGATGGTTTCACAGGCATATATTTATGTCAAACTGAACAATTAAAATATGTGCAATTTATACCTCAATAAAACCTTTAAAAAAGACACAGCAGTCAAATATTTTTAAAACTCAATGTACTATCAGCCTTATAGTGTATTTCCCCCTAAGAAATTTCCATTTCTCTTCTCTGAACAGGGTATTTCTAAGTATCCTAAGTTGTACACATTAAGTAGGTTGAGGATGAATTGGATGATGAAAGTTAATGAAATCAGGTTAACAGAATATAAGTTAAAGGTGATTTTGAAGTCTAACCTTTACAACCATCTCTCTGGTATCAAATTGATTGATTGATTGATTATAACTTGTCAGGTTGCATCAGAAAAGACTGTAAGGGCTTTTTTTTTTTTTTTTTTTGCAATTTTTAACCTTAAACAGGTGATAAAAACAGAGTTTTTAAAAATCTGCAACTTATGTCACAAACGGTTAATATGATGGTGCTTCTAAAATCAGAGGGAAGAGACCAACAAGTAAGTGAAAGTGGCACTTAAACATATGAAAAGATGCTCAACTTCACCCCCAAGAGAGATGCAAAAGGAAACCACACCACGATGCCATTTCTTGCTTGGCAGAATTGGCAAAATACCAAATATTTGACAACATCCTTGGTTTACAAGGCTGTGAGGAAACATCACCAGTGGAAATGCAAGATCCTACAACCCTGTGGGAGGGAGCTGGGCAACGTACAGCAAAAACAGATTACAAATGTCCACTTCTAGGCATCGACCCTAAAAGTAAACTGGCAAAACTATGAAAAGAGCCGTATAAATCTACTCATTACAGCGTTAATTTTAATGGTATCAGACGTCCAGTCATAGCAGACTGGCTGAATACACGACGGTACATTCACAAGAGAGGCGAATGCAGCTGCTAAAAGGAGAAAGGGACATCCCTAGACACTGCTGAGGAGAGATTGTCAGGACACTGAAGGGGAAAACGCCAAAATGCAAGGCAATTGGGACAGAACTACTGTTCATTGAAGTTCACTCAGCTTTTTCAAAATGGAGGGAGAAACCATAGCATTGATAAATGGCTACCAATAGGGTGAGGGCAGTACGAGGTTGATGGGAACAGGGAAAGAAGCAAGACTTCTGACTGTACTTCGTTTTATAAACTTGACTTTGGAACCATGTAAGTTTTACACAATCATAAAACAAAATTATATCAAAATTTGAAAAATGTAACTTTTTCAAGTTACATTTGCTTTTTCAAAGCAAAACCAAAATGAAACAAGTGAACTAGTATAGAGTTAGGGTCTTAACCCCACAGAAACAAAATTTTTCAATTTACTTTGAAGCAGAGTAATATCCCAAATGGGATATATCCTAACAACAAGAATAACTGCAAAAAAATCTAGACTATTTTCAATAATCATACTGTTAATAATATTGACATTGTTATTCTGAAACCATTACATATAAATGATAAAGTAGATAAGTAATTGTGTTGAGATAATTAGGATCCAGGATTTTCAATATAGGAAAAACAGATACAAATGTAAAACCAGGCCTCTGGTGGGTGAATAGAGGCTGGGGCGGGGTCTTCCAATCTGCCTCCATCCTGGCCTGGGATTGAGTTGCGGGGTTCAGGGGGCAGGTGCCGGGTGCTTTCTGATCCTGGTCTCCGTGGCTTCATAGCAGACCCTATCCTGCGATCAGGGCCCATGGGTAACCTGAGCCAAGATGGCAGTGAGTGCAGCCTGTATTAAAAAATAATAATAAAATAAATAAATAAAAGAAGTTAAAACCACCTAGCTCTAAATTTGAATTTGAAATATCACTGAATTCACGATTTTTTTTTTTTTTTTACATTTAAAGTTATGTATTCTAGCTCTGTCCTCTGAAAAGACCTAGAAGTAATGTCCAGCCTTGTGGCAATGAGCATCCCTAGAGCCCCACCCACCCGACCCCCGTGGCCTCCAAACACCATTTCCCACTCAGGTGGATTAGGGCTCCTTGAAAAAAACACAGATTCCAGCCTGAGGATCCAGGGGTATGGGAGCTGAGCCTAGGGCATCTTGTCATATCAGAAATCTAGGGAGAAATCAGTGAGCAAGGGTCTTGTGTCAAAAAGACTCAGGGAGAACTTGAAGAGGTTCACACTGACCAAAGATGGGAGGATATGAGTATTAATTTTCAAAACTGTAATGATTAAAATACATTAAATATATTAAAATTTTTGCTTTCAAATAATATAGAAAAAGAAGTACCTACTTGGTCAGCTCTGGAGAATGCTAGAAAACCAAATCATTATTCTGAAAGTTAGTAAATAAAGGGAATAATTAAGCATTTAACTTGCCTTTTCTCTATGGACCATATTTCAAGGCAACCAAACACTTGATATGGGGAAGTTTGTCTTTACAGAACTGTTCCCACAAATGCAGAAGGGATACCAATAGGAGAATGTCACCGTCTTGCAAACTCCGAGCGAACTGCACCCAGACAATGACTGTCAGTGGAAATACAAGCGCCCACGTGTGAGTATTCTTGCCCCCACCAACCTGAATCCAATTAGTCTCTATAAGTTTGCAAGAACGTCTAAGGACAGAGGGCACAACGAGAATCCGAATGGCAAAATCCCAAGTGTGAGAAACTCCACAGAACACATGACCTGATTTTAATAGATTTCAAAGAGGATAAAAAGCAGTGGGAGGAGGCTATAGATTAAGAGACTCTACAGCCTGTCGACCAAGTGCATTGTGCATTTGTGTACCTGGTTTGGACCCTGATTCACACAAACCGGTTATCAAAAATGAAAATAACGTCTGAGACAAATGGGAGAATTTGGACACTGGATATTTGATAACAGGGGATAATGGTTGCTATTTGGGTATGATAATGGCTTCGTAATTACCTTTTGTAAGGGCCCTAATTTTTTAGAGACAGATATGGAAATGATGGGAAGGAGGTAACTGGGTAAAGAATAGGTGAGAAGAGATTGGCTGTGGGTCAACCACTTGTTCAATTGTGTAGTGGACATGTGGTTTCATTATACACTTTCCCTACCTTTGTGTGTCTCTGAAATGTTCCAGAATAAGAAGCTAAAAGGAAAAAAGAAAGAGTGAGGGGGAAAGTGGGTCCCTGCAGAGGGCCTCCTGTCCCCCTCGCCTGCTTCCCAGCTGCCTCACCAGCTGAAGTCATCTAATTTGCATGTTGATGGTGTTTCCCCACCGGAATGTGAGCTCCAGAAGGAAGGAGCTCTCTGCTTTGCCTGCTGCAGATAAAGGAAATTGGGAGACTGGAAGCCTCTGAGTAGCGAGTCACCTCCTCCTGGACAACACGTGTGGACTGTGGAGGGCCCCGTCTCCTCACACCCTCCTGACATCCAGCAAAGGACCTGCATGAGACATACAGGGGTCGTTTCCCAAGCGCAGTCAGACCTGTGCGTCAGTTCCCAGGATTTGCTGGAGGAGAAGAAGTGTCCCTTTGTGACGTAAATCGACATGGCTGGGCTGGTGTGGTGGTGTCTGAGGGTGTTGACTTATCAGTGTCATTCATCCCTCCATTCACTCATTGCCAGGCCCTCTTCCAGGTACTTGGGACATGCCAGTTCACAAAATGAGTAGAATGCCTGTAGCACTGACGTGCCAGAGGGGTGAGTGGGAAAGGGGCTCAAAAGAGATTTAATTTGCATTTCCCCGATTATGCATCATTTTTTTTTTTGGCCACACTGCGCAGCATGTGGGATCTTAATTCTCAACTTACTTTAACAAATAGGAGAGTATGTGTTCATGCACACATGTGCATGTGTTGTTTTTAAGTATATACTGTATAAGGGTTCACTCAGAGAGGCAGAGCCACTACGAGACAGAAATTATATAAACAATAAAAAATTATATAAAAAATATGTATGTTACAGGGATTACACCTCACGCAATTGTGGGACGTAATCAAGCAATTCCTATCGGCTCTTGTATTTGCATCTGATGCTGGAGCAAGACAGGGTTGGAAAGGGAAAATGGATGTAAAGTGGGGAAACCAAGCACAAGCTGTGGTCATGAGCTGTGGTCATGAGCTGGAGCCTCTAAGGACAGACAGAAAAGCCTTTGTTTTCTTTGATGATGTGGGTGTCCTGCAGAAGGAAGGTGGAGCAGGTGTAGGCCTGTTGCTATCTTGTGCCACCCAGTGAGCCGGGGACATTGTGCGTGGCAGTGGCACCTGCGTGGACCTTTCATAGCTCACACCACCTCTGGACACCCTCTGTAATTCACATATTGATTGTGTACTGCCTGCTTTCCCCACTCACAGGCAAGGTCCACAAGAACAGGGACTTATTGGGAATGTTGCTTGTCTTATTCGTTCATGTAGCCCCAGCACTTAGAACAGTGCCTAGCATGCAACAGGCACTCAGTAAATACCATGCTTGTGAAACATAGAGACACAAGTGGCAGAGCTAGACACACACACAAACGCTAGTTGTTGAATTGCTAAAAAAAAAAAAATGTAGCAAAATGTTAGCTGTTGAATCTAAGGGAAAGGTATGCAATGTATTCATTGTGTTATTCTTTCAACCTTTATGAACATTTTTAAAATAAGTTGTGGAGGAGACAAAGAAAGCAGGGTGTGCTGAGAAGGTCCTCGAAGCATCAGCTGGGACCAAGATTGCTGGGATAGAGCTCACTCCCTGTTGTTAAAAGGTAAACTGAGGCATATTAAAATTTTTGAAGAGCTTATTTGAGCAAACAAAGAACGGAATCAGGTAGCGCCAAACCAAAAGAGGTTAGGAGCGCTCTGCCAACAGGAGCTAGGGAAGAGGGTTTTATAAAGAGGCAGAAGCAAAGCAAGGAAGTTGACGGGCCATAACTTAAGCAGTCGCCTTATTTGGAAAGCCTTGCTGGGGGCTCCTTAAGTAGCTACCAAGGCAGCAGAGCCACTGCAACCTTACGGCCTCCTTGTTTAATTACGTTAACACTGGCAACTGGCCAAAACCACCTGGGACGGTCCAATAGTAGAGCCAAATCGGACGACCTCGGTCCTGAGCTTCAGTCCCTTGGCAGAGGGGACTCTGCCCCACAGGGGTGTGCGTGCTAGACGAGTTCCCCGTGGGAAGCTGACCTCACTCTCCGCGGAGTGGGAACCCTGCCCCTGATGCCGGTGCCTGCTACCCAGAGAATTACTGCCACATCCTCCCCGACTTCCAGCCTGAGGCCTCTCCCCAGACCACTTCTCCTGCCCCGCAGTCGGGGCACCGGCTCAGCCTGGCCAGTCCTCCCAGCCTGCCGAGCTCTTTCCCAGCCTCAGCCAACCTGCCACTTGGAAGGACACCAGCCCGTCCTTGGGGGGGCCAGCGGGTGCGGTAGGAAGCAGCGATGACCACCTCTTCCTTCCGCCCGCGCTAGTCCTCCACGTCGGCCACAGCGTCGTCCTCGGACGCTCCAGCCCCGGACCGCGCGCCGCCCCCGAAGTGCGCAAAAACCAGCGCAGGGGGATGGGGAGGCGGTCGCCGCCACACACGACGACCACCGCCAGCCCGTGCCAGTCCCCGCCTCGGCGGGGTGACACCGGCTGCAGCAGGGCGGGGCCCGGCCGGGACGGCAGGCGGCCAGCAGGCCTGCCAGGGCCAGCAGTAAGGGGCCCACGCCGGAAGTGCGGCCTTGGGAGGCCCGGACGCGGCGTGGCCTCTCTAGGCGCGGTGGAGCCCGCGTCTCTCGGTGGCTCCGGAGCGCGAGTCTCAGGCGTCAGTCAGGAGAAAGGCGCCGGGCAGGGAAGGCGGGGCCCGCGGCGGACTGGGAAGTGTCGCGCTCTAGGAGTGGTTGCCTGGGAGGCGTGGGCGGGGAGCCCTGGGAGGCGGGGCGCTCCGGGATTGGCGGGTGCGCAGACGGGGCGGGGTGTCCCCTTTGTCTGACTGAGGTGCGGGCGGCCGCTTCTGCGCGTGAGGCTGCGACAGGGACGGTGAGTCGGGGCGCGGGCAGCACGGGGAACCTCTGCTCGCGCGGCGGGGGGCCGGGACCCTCCTCGCGGCCGGGCGCTTCCCACAAGGGCCCGCTGCCCTCTCCAGGCGCACTCCGAGCCCCGCCCCACTCTCGCCTCCGCCGGGCCCTCCCTCCCCGCTCCCGCGAAAGGCGAGCCCTGCCCAGCGGGTGGTCCTCGACCCCGCGAGCTCCAGCCTCTCGCGGCGCCCGGGGGAGGGCCGGGGTCGCGAGACCGCTGTCCGCGGGGGTCGCTCTCAGCGTCCCGGCGGCCTTGGCGTCTCTCTGGGAAAAGTGCTTCCCCCCGAGTTCCCCTCCCGCCTCCATTTTCCATCGAGGCTCGTTTCCCGGTTACTTTGTAAAAGCCCTTTTTCGTGAGCGCGACCAGCCTTTCCCAGAGTCCGCGGGTGTCTGTCTGCTGGAAGCTTGCCGGGGCGCTTCAGCGGGAGACGGCGTGCCGCCTTTTCAGCCGAGCCCTCGGTGTGCGCTGCCCTTGGCGTTTCCTTTCTCATCAGCTCGGTTCTTTAACCTACGTGTCTTCTCAAATTGTCATTTGACTCCGGTTATGGTGTTTTGTTCCGTTTTGAGATGGAAGATTTCGAGTGTTTAATGGTCAGATACTTACCCTCGAGGCTTTTGGCTTTGTGCTGTGTTTTAAAGGGCTTTCCCTATTCCAAGATTAGTTTTAAAATAAATTCTTGTTTTTCTCTGGTACTTGTGAAATGTTGGCTCCATCTGGAATCATTTTGGTGTGGGGCAAGTTGGGAATCCAGCTTATTTCTGACACAACCTACTGAATAATTCATTTCTCCATTGATTTGGAAAATCACCTTTGTCACGTGTTAAATTCTCCCAAGTCTTGGGCCCATTTCTGGGATTCGTGGTGCTTTGATGTGCAAAGGTTTTGATTTTCATGCGGCAGATCTGTGGATCTCTGCCCCCCAGACTTTATTCAGGTTCTTTTTATGATGTAATTTAAAAATTTATTTCTTATTCATTCATTAGCCGAATGCTTTCAGTATATGATATGAAATGATCTCATTTTTTTCCTGTCTTTTGTTTTTTGTTTTTTTGTCGTATTTTTTTAATCTCTGCTTTTGCTTAGCTTTCTGGGAGATAAGTTGAGCCTTGTGCAAAGATCTAAGTTTAGACCCCTTGTCCAAGTGCCGGTTACTGGACCATCTTCCCCGGGATCCGTTTGTTTATAGACGTGGCCCTGCTCTGCCCCTTCTAGTCCAGGCCCGCTTGGCTCTCGGCACCACGGCTTTGTGGATACAGTGGGCAGAATTAGCATCACATTTCTAAGGTTTATTTTAACCTTGTTTCTTGTTGCCATCTGTGCGTAGAACCTTTTTCGCTGTGTATTTCCCGACTCCGTGTTGCTGGTGTGTAGGAAAGCTATCAGCGTGGATGCATGTTTGTGATCGTTTACTTCCGAAGGTTGCAGGGTTGCGCTTTGGGCTTAACGGGTGGCTCAGAAGCGCCTCTTTGGAAGGTGATTCCACCCTGGAGGGTGGGGCTCCGTGGAGTTAAAGAAGGAGGGGGCAGGCCTTCCAGCAGGAAAACCTGGGGGTGAGGACGGTGAGGATGAGGGGGGCGACTCTGGGACTGGGAGTGTGCCTGTCATGCCTGTCACTGTGGGCGGGGTCTTTGGAAGGAAGGCTCTTTTACATCAAGATCATCAGCAGTTCCAGCAAGAGCGATAAGTTACTAAAGCTTAGCTTACAAACAAAATAATAACAAACGTTAAGTCCTAAGCTCTTTGCGTCTCTGCAGTCCCGTTTTTACTTCCTGTCCCTTAGTCACCGCCCGAGCCAGACCTCACTCGGAGGTCTCACTGCAGTGTGGCCACTGCTGCAGGGAATGTTGGCCTGTTCTGGTTTGTTTGGGTTGTTCCTTGGCGGGAGTTCCAAAAAACGAAATTCCTGCATCTGAAGAACGACGGTGACCCGTGGGTGGGTGGGTGGGTCACTGTTGCGGGCACCCCCAGGGCGGGTGCTTTTTGTACTTGCCGCTGTGTTGGGGGCGGTGTTGCCTCCTTAGGCAGCTCCTCAGAGCCAGTTCTGACCCTTGGTGGTGGTGATTCCGGCTCTGGGGACCATCTAAACAGGACTTGTCCTGCCCACCTGTTCGCCCTTCCTGATGCCTGGAGCTCTGGGCATCGCGGCGGGGGTGGCCTGGTAAAAGCCAGGTTCAGTGCCCAGGTGGCTGTGTCCTCCCTGTGGTGTCTGTTAGCAGCCTGCAGTGCTTTTTGCATGTCTTTGCATCTGGCACAGACTTGTTCCAGGAGACCCAGACCTTATCTACCAAAGGGCAAAAAAAATGAAAAACTAGTTAGTAGCACTTTTTAAATTTGTTTTCTTTATTTTTTATCAGGATGTAAGTGTCTTATTCCATTTGTGCTGCTACAACAAAGCACCACACACAGGGCAGCCTATAAAACAACAGACATTGATTTCTCACAGTGCAGAGGCCGGATGTCCGAGGTCAGGGGGCCAGCAGGGGCGGGTGAGGCCCTCTTCCTGGCTGCAGACTTCCTGTGTCCTCCCGTGGAGGAAGGGGCAAGGGAGCTCTGTGGGGTCTCTTATCAGGGGGACTCCACCTTCATGACCGAAGCACTCCCAAAGGCCCCACCTCATAACACCCTCACATTGGGCATTAGGATTTCAACACAGACATATACATTTGGGGGACACGGACATTCAGACCAGAGCAACAAGCATACTTCAGGATACTTCACACTTTTCCCTTTGGCAGTTTGCAGAGGTCATCCTAGGCAGACGCCATCCTAGGCAGAGGCCTTTTGCTTTTGTGCTTCTCTGGGACTCACCGCAGGTGGGAATCTTGTCGCCTTCTCCCTCTCCGCCCCTCTGTGCCTCAGGCCCGCTGGGTTTGAATTAATCCCATCGGGTGGCGACGTGAGGCTTAGTCAAGTGCTCTCACCTGAGAGGAGGTGTGTCATCTCTCTGTCTTACTGGTGTGGACAAGGGCTCACACCCCCTCGTGGCCCCGAGGTCATTGTGGAACAGGAGCATCGTGGACACACTCCACATCCCATGCTTTTGCCGACCCGACCCGTCTGTCCACCGGGTGCAGTCTGAGTCTTGGTCTTAGCAGGTGCCGGACTGGTGTGTGGAAGGACGTGGCTTTGGCAGCGGCACCATCCTGAAGCCTCTGCTTCTGAAGCCACACGACTCACGTGGGATTCGAGCTCAGGGGATGAGCCTCGAGCTTACTTTTAATTGAAACCACACACCTAGGCTCAGGACTTAATGAAGCT